TGCTATCTGAGGGTCTTGTCAGTGACTGATCTGATCCGAGACTGATGTGAAGCTACTGTACGACCTTGCCTTGTACCTACATAGCACATCGATTTCCACTTTTGACGGACCCTTACCCTTACCCTTATTTGCATATCGATCGCATCCCAGGGAAAGACCAAGTTCCATCCGTCTGCAACCACTTTGTCCTCCCCTCCAAACTCCAACAACAAACTTGGCTTGCTTTGCGGCTCTTTCCAGACTTTGCGACGACCTCAACCACAGCCGCGCCCATTTGGCGCATTGCTCACAACCCCCGGCACTTTGGTCGCATCACCCGCCCGCTTCCATCCCAACACAAGTTGGCATCCAAAGAAGAACATCCGCACGCACTTGCGACTGAGACCTTCCCGTCCACTCACTTGACCCTCACTCAACACTCCGACATTCGCTCTTCTTTCCCGCAATTGACATTGACGACCACCACCATCACTCACCAACAGCAACAATTGAACAGAGCAACACCTAATTTCCCCCAACCATCCAACAAGTTCCTCTTCAGTTCTTCCCTTACAGACGACGCCGACGACGCGATAATTGACGACCACGGCCTCTCGTGTTTCACAAAGCCGCACAACAATCGGCACAGTACCTACTCATCAATCCGTCTTCTTGTTCCCACCTTACCCATCTTTTGCTTTTTCCTACCTGGTTTAAGTTCCTTTAATCCCGCCGTTTCGGCCTGCCTGCCTGTCTGCCTGCCGCACTCCAGCCATTCCAATTTGGTCCGCCATCTCAACTCTTTTTTCTGTATCGCACCCACGATACCTTGACGGCCAGGTTGTCGCGTCGCGTAACAACAAAGACGGCCTTTGCGACAAAGAGACGGCCTTGCGCACCCAGGGAGATTATCCTGTCGCCCTTACCTTTTACCGCTCATTTGGCGACACTCCGCTTCTCAACAACAACATCGCGATCGAATACCGACCACCGAAAGCGTGCCTGTTTCGACTCATTGCTCTTGTTTTATTCATCCCTTGCTCTCCTTGTTACAAACCAATACCGCATGACGCTTCTGTAAGACACAATGGATCAACAACATTCCTCCGGGCACGTAACAGTGCCACGCGACTTTTGCTACGCCGTCGCGCTCGAGTTTCCCGACGCCAGCGAAGGACCAAAGACGCCCATCAACCCAAAAGATGTCGACTTTCCCCAAATTCCTTCGCCTCCCAGACCTCGTCTCAAAGTCAAGAGACGCACCACTTCGAGCCAGCTCGCCGCCTCACAGCAATTCCTGGCTTCAGTAGCAGCAGGAGACCTTGCCGTCCCCAGCATCGAAGAGCCAGAATCAGACCCAGAAGACTTCACCATGCGTCCCTTTTCCTCAGAACCCTATCAAGACTCCCTTTCTTTGCAAATCCCACGGGCAAGGGCATATTCAGACGCAGGACCAAAGACACCAGTGCCAACAACCATGGCACTACCACCATTAACACCCTGTCGATATCCGGATTGGACGGTGGGTTCGACCAGCAGTTTCGAGTCAACGCCCGAGGACGACGACGACATAAGCAGGCCATCAACGTCCCAATCCACCCAGACCAGCGACTCCTTCCCGAGCCAATGGTCCCACCTCTCCGAAGAAGACGACTCCGATGAATGTGATTTTGAAAGTGCCTCCCTCGACGGCAAGGACACTCTGCATTATTTTAGCACAACAGACCTTGTTGACTTTGGCGACGAGCCAACAGAGACCCTACAACCATCATTTACCACCACCACCCCCAAGGAAACCAACCCCAAACCGAAACCATCAAGAAAGAAAATCCCCTGGACAAAACCGATGAATGACCACCTATGGTCTTACTACTCGCTGTATCTGCAAGACCCCAAAGTTACCCCATTCCGCATGGGCAAGAACTGTATTCCACCAGAAGGCGTGTGCGCGCGGGTTGCTCGCGAAGCCATTCGCACCTGGCGGGGGTCAAAAGCTCAAAAGAGCACTGTCGGCGAGATCGCCGAAGGGGCTGGGACGTTCATGCGCTGGCCGCACACGCAAGCAGCTACAAGGGCACAGCTAAGAGAGTTATGTCGTCAAAAGGCGGCAGCGGCAGCTAAGAACCACCGCTTCCTCTCTAGAAGCGTAACTCCCATGCAATCTGTCCAGACACCCAGAGCCCAGGGACGGTTTGCAACGGGTGACATGTCCATGTCTCTTACGTTGTCTACATCAGAGCACATGCAACCGCAAGGTCCGTTGGCGCAGTTGACGAGGTCAAGTCTAAGCATCTTCGAAGCTCTAGCACCACCTCTAGAGCCCATTCCGATTCCACAACGGCAACCAAACCACGTGGACCAGGGGCCAGAACGAGGCCGTCTTGGCTCGCCATTATTCGGCCCTCAACCCATGACAAGTGGAGAAGCAGACGACCAAGAACCACCCCAACCGCGAAGTTATGGCCCTTCCTCCTCTGCCTCTCTAGCGGCTGCAATCGGCGCCATCACCACGCGGAAAAGGGGCCAGACAATCTCGCATTCCCTCCCGGGTCAACAGAGCCGGCCAACAACAGGCAGACTGCAAAGCCCAGTGAGACTCGGCAGATCTAGCGCACCTGGGAAGCGAAGAAATACCCACTCCCAAGGGGGCGATCACAGGAAGAAGACTGCTCCTGCTCCTGCTCCCGATTCTGTAGCATCAGCAGCAGTAGACACCAGACCACAGACAGAAGAAGGAGCCACCACCAGCACGACCAGAGGCCGAAGATCAACGGAATTCAGCTCAACACTAGGCCACCGCTTCGACGAGTTGTTTATTCCGCGATCTACTTCAACCGGTACTGGTGCTGATCTCACACACGCTGCCCCCATCCCTTCTGAACCCCAAGGACTCCCAAGCTCCATCAGCATGCCAGCAATCCTCGGTCTAACTCCCCTTCATATCGCGCAACCACAGCCACAGCCACAACCACAACCACAATCGCAACTCGAAGAGCCGACCGTCCAACAACCACTTGCCAGACTGGGATCGCCGTTGAGCTTCACCTCTACGTCAAGCTTCTCTGCTACTCGCCACAACCACAACCACAGTCACATTCGAAGACCGGGGCATGGGCAGAGTGTGGATTTGGGCATGCTTGGTCGTGGACCAGCTGCCGTGATGCAGCAGGCTACGAACCAGGGACAGACCCGTGGCGGAAGAAGGAGTCAGGAGCGGAAGTCAAGTGAAGTCCAAGGACCTCGACCGGAGCCTAGCAGGACGAATACGGGGAGTAGTAGCGGAAGTGGAAGTGCAAGTGGAAGCGGAAGCGGAAGCGGAAGCGGAAGCGGAAATGAGACGGAAACAGGTGGGCGAAGCGGGAGGATGGCGGATTTGAGGCAGCGGTTGAGGGAATTTAGTCGCCGGAGGGGAGAAAGTGGTAGGAGGAGGTCTGGAAGCCCTTTTTAGACTTTAGCCTCCAACTGTCTTGCTTGCTTGGTTGATTCTTTTGGCTATCTTATGATTATGGGCTACGGGTTACGGAGAACGGCGTTATGACATTCTGGTTATTCCCCCACTACTGCATGAGCGGCGGAGAAAGTCTGGGGTTTATGGCGTTTGAAGGGCATGGCATACGGATGATTGGATGCTGAGGAAGGATATCTTTGGACACTTTGCTACTTCTTTCCTTTTTGTTTGTGCTGGGCGCACTAGCAACACTGGCTCATCGCCGCAAGGCAACTTCTTTGCATATCTACTTACTTAGTATTTACCTTTTGGGACATCCGTCACCTTTGACATTTACTTCGGTCATTGTACAATCGCACATGGTAAAACAGTACATGACGATCTTGGCCTCACCTCACAGCATATTTCCTCTTCTTCTTGCCTATCTAGATTCTGGACTTGCTCACACGGATCTACTCATCTGATTCGGATATTTTCTTTCACCACTCACATAGTTGGAGCTACCCTGCTCATGTTCATCTTACGGCGCACATTGTTCGATTATTACAAGGGGTGAAATGGCGTGCAAACTGTCATGGCATGCTAGGCTTCTATTCGTATATAAAGATACCTAGCTCAATGCTGGCGCAGGAACTTGCCGTGCCCTTGTCTTGACATAAAACACACCTAAAAAACCACCATTGTACTACTACTTGCTTGACATGGGAATGTCCACCAACCCACGAGACCAAACAACACTGGAATATGACTTGAAACAACCTCCCAAAATACACACCCGACAAATAGGTACTGAAGAATGGAACCGTTCCAAATCAAGACACAATCGAACATCAACCTCAAGTGTCATTTTTCTCTAGATCCTTCCGAAAGCTAATGTACGCCAGTTGATCAACACCGGAACAACTGCCCCGGTCCCGGTCCCGGTCCCAGTCTCCGGAGTTCCACGGTTTGACGTGCTGCAAGGCGACGCTTGGACCCGCACCCACACCCGTTCGGCGCCTCCCGAAGACCTGACCTAGTGGAACGGAGCGAGTGGGGTTACGGGTTAGCACCCAGCCCCGCTAAAAGTGCCAATTGCCAACCGCGGCATCCGAATTCCGGGCTCTGGGGGGGTTCGGATTTATCTTTTGACATGTCGTTTCCGTTTTCTTAACTTGTTGAATCCAGCCAGAGAAACCTGCGGACGCAATTGAAGCAACCAATTGTCCCTGGAGGTAGCTACCTAAACTCAATATTCGGTGTGACGGTCAGACGGTCTGATACAACACCCCGAGACCCCGAACCCGACCCCGAGCTAGAGCTAGCTATTGAGTACCACCTCACCTGTACCGCACCGCGTCGAACCTCAGAATCACGACCACACGCGTCTTCTTCCTATTCCCCAAGCCCCGAACCCGAAGCTCCCTTCCAACCCGACACTCGAGTACTCGAAGCCGACCGGGACTTCAGTCGCAAACACAAACCGAACAGCGAACTCGACTCTGCCATCCGATGCCCACCACAACAAGCACACCATCACCATCACCATCACGATGAAGTTCCACGCTGCGTCCAGACGGGGCCTCGGAGCTCTCAGCTCTCCCACAAGCTTCCTCTCGATACAACAATTCCTTCTCCTCTCGGCCTCGTCGTGCTGTCTACCCCGTTGCGGCATCCATTGGTGATCGATTGCCTGAGTTTCAGGAGTGTATTAGGGTGGGTTCAGTTGTCTTCTACTTCCAATCTGGGATCTAGGACTTGGGATTTGTGTTGGGATATGGGAGAAGGATAGCTTTGCGTGAGCTCGGGTCGCGATGGATTGGACAGAAGAGAGGGAACCAAAGCTGCCCCTGGCCTGGACACCAAAGACATGAAAGAAAGGATATGACGAGAGAGAGAGAGAAGCGTCTGACTGACACTGTCTACGACAACAGGTCTGCGAACGAGAAAACTGCGGTCCGGACGCTGAGCATCAGACGCCTATTCGTACGTCTTTTTTCCGTCTCTCTCCCCTTTTCCTTCTCGACCCCTAAACGGGTTACATTTGTCAACAACAATAACAAACAGCTAACCCCCCCTTTTCAAATCCAGCCCTCCACCGCCGCCTCCTCCTCTGGACCTGCCCCTCCGAATGCGACTACACCTGCCAACACTTAATCACCTCCTCCCGCCTCGCGCAAACCACCCAATCTCCCCCCGGGTCGGCATCAATCCCCTTCCCCGACCGCCCCATAGTCCAATACCACGGAAAATGGCCCTTCCACCGTTTCCTCGGCGCTCAAGAGCCCTTTTCCGTCATATTTTCCCTCGGCAATCTATGGGCACATTACGACGGTCTCTACAACAAAATCCTGCCTTCCATACCCTCCACCTACCCTTTGCGAAAATGGTACATCTGGCTCGCCTACGTCGGCATGGCCTCCTGGTTTTTCTCCGCAGTCTTCCACACTCGCGATTTCCCCGTTACCGAACAACTCGATTACTTTGCTGCTGGCGCCAATGTCTTGTACGGATTATATTATTCAGCTGTAAGGATTTTTAGACTCGACAAGGACACACCTAGACGACAGTCGCTGTTGAGGCTGTGGACGACGGTATGTCTGTTGATGTACATCGGACATGTCACTTACTTGAAGATGTGGACGTGGGATTACACGTATAACATGGCTGCCAACGTGGCTGTGGGCGCCGTGCAGAACGTGCTGTGGAGTTGGTATAGCTGGAGGCGGTACATGCAGCAGAGAAAGGGGTGGGCGGCGTGGCCGGGTATTGTGGTGGCGTGGGTTCTTGTGGCTATGAGCTTGGAACTTTTGGATTTCCCGCCGCTGTGGGGAGCGGTGGATGCGCATAGTTTGTGGCATGCTGGCACGATTGTGCCGGCGGTTATTTGGTATAAGTGAGTATTTCTTTGGTCATGTTGTCTTCGTTGACGGAGTTGAAAGCTAACTTTGTTATTACAGTTTCTTGGTGAGAGACGCGCAGGACGATATGGCGAGGAGCGAGAGGCTCAAGTCTTAGGGAGCAGAGGTTTTGGGAAATTGACGATGTACGACGACATATTTGTAGAGCGCTGACAGAATGGAATAGACATTATGTTTTTTACGCTATATCCAGAGGATTAATACAACAAACGCTGCTAACGAACACGACTATGTTACTTTGTGTTCAAAATACACCAATACCCAAGACCACAAACCTCCACCCGAACATTCACTTCTAAGAACTTAGTCTACTTCCGCATCATCATTCTTGGCCTCATTCTCGCTGTCCGGACGACTAGTTCTGTTGGCACGAAGCAAATCGAGCAGGGCATGTCCGACACTGGCGCCATCTGTCTCGGCGTGTCGAGGAAGATTGTTCTCGCCCGTGTTGCCGTTTGGGGGAGGGTTGTTTTCATCCGTCTTGTCATCCCGGTCGTCCTCGTCTGCCTTGACATCCTTGTTGTTCTCATCCGCCTCATCATCCTGATTATTCTCCCCAGTCTTGCCATCCTACTCAAGACCGTTCTCGTCGTCATCAGAAAACTCATCACTAGAGAACTCCTCGTCAGAGAACTCCTCATCAGAAGGATCCACAGCCTCAACAGTAACCCCGACATCCTTCTTCTCATCAAGATCCAGCGAAACCTCTGCCTCGGTATCGACAACATTGACGTTTTCAACAAGAACCGACTTCTTGCTCTCAGGAGTTTGCGACTCAGATGTATAGCCACCATCATCATCAAACGTGTATTCACCCATCTGATCGAGCTTGAGACGAGCGTCCTCTTTCACCTCCCTAGATCCCGAGCTGCTGCTGCTGCTGTCCAAGATAGCACATCCACCCTCATCAGACACCGTCGGGCTAGAGGTCGAGTAGAACCTTACGCCGCGGTGATTCGTAGCAGGCCTTTTGCTGCTGCTGCTGCTGTCCAAGATAGCTCCTCCGCCCTCATCAGACTCAGGGCTAGAAGCCGAGTAAAACCTTACGCCGCGCTTCGCAGCAGACTTTCTGCTGCTGCTGCTGCTGCTGTCCAAGGTAGCTCCTCCACTCCGAGTCCCATAAGGCTCATGGCTAGCAGCCGAATAAAAAATCACGCCGCGATTCGTAGCAGGCTTTTTGCCGTTGCTGCTGCCGTTGCCTAGCGAAGAAAACGTCGCCTTTTCCAAAGAGCCAAAAGAGCCGTACTCGGCGGTTTCCCTGTTCCGGATCGGTAGAGGTAGCTTCATTGTCGGCATGGGTCTATACCCGCCATCGTCCCTGGTCCGAGTCTTATAGCCATCTTCGTCTGATCCCGACACAATAACCATAAAGTCGTCCACGGCATCTATGCCCCCCTTGACGTCCTCAAGATACTCTGCTCCGCCAAAGGCGCCAGCGTGCTTGATCAGTTTGCCGTCCTCGAGTGCGGCTCTCTCAAACGCTTGTTTCCTCCTCTCCTCATTCGACATGTCTTCATCAGCCTTTTCCAACATCAACTCGTCCAGCGTCTCGCGTAACCTGTCCAGCGAGTCTCGATGAAACTCCAACACCCACCGCGTACCCATTGGTTTCTGCTCCTCGGCGACTTGCTCATACCCCAGCCTCATGGCAAGTCTTTTGACATTCTCTTCCATGTCCAAATACCTTCTCATCCTCGAATCAATCGGATACTCCACGTCCCCGCTGATAGACGGCCCCGCGCCACCGTGCATTTGAATGACATTGACATTATCGGCCAAGTCAAGAGTATCACGGGTGGCGTCTCCCAGCGCAGACTGCAACTCCTTATCCGCCAACCCCGGTCTCAAAAAATCAAACACCTTTAAACCCAACACTCCCTCCTTCCACTTATTCCGATTCACACCCATCGCATCAAAACAAATATCCAACCCCTCCCCCTCCTTCACACTCTTCACAACCTCCTCATCAAGTAGAAGCCTATACCTCACCACCACCCCCCTACACTTATTCCTCCCATCCGCCACACACAACACCGCGCCCCGTATATATCCTTCCTCAACCCACACATCAAAGTTCCTTTTCCCGTTCCCGTTCCCGTTCTGCCTCTGCCCCTGGGGCCCGGGCTTTGTCGGTCCAATCCCCCACACATCCAACGCCCGCCAGCATTCTTTATCTTCAACCAAACACGCCGGCAACGTTTTCATGCCCATCCCGTAGTCGAACCCGTCCGTCGTCGATATCCTGCACATGAACTGGCGCAGCACGTACCCGTTCTCGCGACAAGAGTTTTCGTAAATTTGCACGCTGTACGGGTCGCGGCCTTCGCGAATGAGGCGTTGCTCCTTGGCCATTTGGTCTTTTTCGTGCAGCTCGGCCACAAACCTTTTGGTGCGCATGTCGCTCTTCTTTTCCGGCTTTCGTTCTTCTTTTTTGCCTTTGTTGTCGTTGGCCTTGGAGTTGGACATCCGCTGAAACGGGCGTTTGAAGCCGCGAGGCATGGGCATTTTTTGTCCAAATGATCCGGGTGCGGGAGGGGGAAGAGGGAAGTGGAAAGGTTGCGGAACGTGAAGCCCGGAAGAAACCCAGGGATGCTGTATGTGGCTTTCTTGTTGTGAAGGGGCAGGGCCAGGGCCGCGGACTGACGGCCGAGACGAGTCGATGTCACGCAGGAAGCGGGCGGCAGACGTGGTGATTTCCTCGGAAAACCCCGAGGGACGGTTTTCTTGATCTTGTGAAGGGCCAGGGGCAGGACCACGGACCGAAGGCCGAGACGAGTCGATGTCACGCAGGAAACGGGCGCGGACGCGGTAATTCACCCTCTTCCTCGATGGGGATGGGGTTGCTACGTGTACCACGGCTAGCAGCGGCTAGGTTGGCAGCTCTGGCGGTTGAAACGACAAGCTCGGCGAGACCAGGAGCAAAATCCGTAGGAAATCCCGGAGGAAGAGGACTGGAGGAACGATGACTAGGACGAAAAGGAGCAGGAGGAGGTAAACCACCGTAAGAGCGGGCGATAACCTCACCCTCTTCTTCTTCTTCTTCTTCTTCTACCTCTTCTTCAATAGAGATAGGTGAGTTACGTGTACCACGGCTAGCAGCAACTTGGCGGTGAAAATCGAGGATGTCGGCGAGGATCGAGTCGAGCCGAGGATCGGAATCCAAACCAAGTCCCGCAGGAGGAGGAGGAGTAGTAAAAGGATCAAGACCGATAGTAGAGCGATCACGATGAGGAAGAAGGCGAGGTGTAGGAGGGGGGGCACCGTAAGAACGGCGGCTGTCAGGGCCGGGAGGGTTGTTGTTATTGTTCCTATTGTCCGTACCGCTCTTGGAGACGATTCTCGGGCCACGTGTCCGCTGGCGGCCACGCTCGGGGCTGTCAGGGTTTTGGACTGAAGAAGGAGGAGATTTCATTTTCGATACAGTTAGCTTGGGAATCCTGAGTGTATTGAAGGCAGTGTGCCTTTGTGTGTGGAAGTTGTCTTGGTTGTTAATGGCACTTTGCTTGGGAACAGATGTGGGAAGAAGACTTGAATGATGATCGTCTGTCGTATCGTAGTCGTGATCAATAATGTTTGGTAATGTGTTGATGAACAGTAACCAAGGTTTGTCAAGTTGTCTGGTATCGTGTGATGGTGTAGTTGCTGAAGTACGATGCAATGACTTTGATAACACTGATTTTGTGTTGTGTTGGTGAAGATGATGGGTTGATGACAGTGGCTGGAGAGACTGGGTGAAGGGAGGAGATTTATTTGAACCTACTTGGTCTCAACGTGATGCAAACCTAGGTAGGCTGGGAAGGTTGTTGTTGTTGCCTCCTACCAGTGTTGATGGATTGTGCTTTCCTTCGAAGACACCTGCTCCTTCGAGGACTGAACTCTAGGGAAGACGGAGGCGAAACGAAAAGAATTCTGGTGGTGGCTTTAGACTTCCCTGTTAGTCAGACTGCATTGCCTTGCCGGAAAGAACTTATGGTTGAGGGCCGGCACTTCCTTAAGTTACCTGTGATTAAGGTAAATAGGTAGGTAACAATACTGCATCTGCGACTTGACGACATTTGAACCCCGACGAAGATGAAACTTCCACCCGCGCCTCTGTGAGATATGGCAAAGTCAGCTTCTATGGTCAGGGATGAATGGGCCGCCGTCTCTTTCCTTCCTGTGATACTGAGTGTTTCCAACACATCTTAAGGTAGGTACCTAAGAAAGACGTGAACATCTCTCCCATATCAAGTCATCTCTTTATCATTGGGAATCTAACTAACTAACTGACCTCCTGCATCTCCTGCCACCGATTATCCCTTGGATCTGAATACAAATGAATCGACCGAACTTGTTTTACGAAAAAACAAAAAGCAGCAAAAAAATTGTTTCGATCCCCCCCCAGACTCAAACTGGAACCTTCCCGCCCTCACGACCACCTCCCAGAGAACGTTCTACCCATCGAACAAACATCGATCCACCGAAATGAATGAACATTGAACAATTTTCATGTCATGCGACAGTGGGCATTCATAATGAATGCACTACATACTGCCATAATTGCATGTCGTGATTCGAAGCTCTGGGCAGCGTAGAATCATGCTTAGCCATTTGGACTACACACATTAAGATCATCTACCGATAAGAGACGTGCCACCCTTCACTCGTTTGGAGTTCTACTGTGAGGGTAGCGTGCGATGATGGAGAATAAGAGAAAATTTGCATCGCAGCTGTGCCCTCAGCGGAATTCGAACACCAGAGGTCTCGAGGGTGGCTCGTACCTTGGGGAACTCGGAGTTGTGCTATCATTACACCAAGGGACCGTGGTAATTTGTTGGTCAAAGAGTACTAGAAAGGCGGGGTTATAAGGGACTTGGGGCGGTTGGTGGGAGCCTACAGTGGGCGGCAGGTTTTGTGATGTGTTTTGATGAGTGAATGGTGGTGTTGAAAATGGGATGGAATATCAGAAGGTTGGAGTGTTGTGCCGTCTGCAATCGCGGGCGCCATGAATGTCTCTATGGTTGAGTTTCGGTCAGGGGAAAGGGCATTATGTACTAGGCTACCACCTATAACCACCTAGTTGTGGCCAGGTCTTCATCAGTCACGAGAGTAGCAGAAGGACAGTTATATTCCCAGGAGAGATGTAGAGGCGTTCGCTCTCCCTTTGCGACCGAGCATGGAATTAACGATGACCTAGTAGAAGTATCTAGCGTGAGTACCTACATCTATTAATGCTAATTACCATATCGGTCCTTTGACTTCTTCCTAACTTGTGAACAGGCAATTATCTGTGAAAAGTTTCACGTCATCAACCCAGACATCGCCGGTGCCGTGTGCGGCCACAATTGTTCTTCAAGTATCGCTGACACTGCAACGTCTGAAAACACTGTAGGCAGGTATCAGTCGTCCGTCAGGTCGATTTCGACCTTTCCGTTCTTCAACCGACGTAGCTTGTAGCAGACGTCCAAAGGGGTCGGGTCCATGCGCTCTCTCTTGACACCGCGTGGGTGGTCTGGGTCTGTTTTGATACCGCTCGGATGATTCGGTTCGGGTTTGATGCCAATTGGATACTCTTGCTCGGATTTGATATCACGAGTTTTCTCCGGCTCAGGTTTGACACGGGCAGGGGGCTGCTGGAAAAGAGGAAGATGTCAGTACCCTGCTTGTATACAGGCAAGTTAGGCTACTAGCCTTGAAGTGGCTCACCTGGACCTGGGGGTCGTTTTCAAGCTCAATGACTTGGTCATCCTCGTTGGCAGGGCGTGGAAAGATGCCCTCGGACATAAGGCCCTCTAAGATGAAGGGTCAGGAAAGAACCGGCTGCCAAATGTAACACAGATAGACGGTTGTGCGATTGACCTACCCATGCTTCGGTATCTGAATTCGAAGATCGCAAATGGTCGTTTAGCCGGGTCCACGAAGTCAATGACACAAGCTGTTTGGGGCCCAGAAAGGGGTTCTGAGTTGAAACAAGATCCCCCGAGTAAGCACAATCCTCAAATGAATTTAATATTGCTACCCTTCAATAAAAGGCGACTTCTACTTACTTGACCTTGCTGTCTACTGATTTTCCCTTCAATGCTTTCTCGGATACTGCCTGGACAGGAGCTGGGCCATTCTCAGGTTCCTTAGGTACCTTGCGCTGCAAGTCAACAACATGCCACAACTTGACCAGGAGTAAGCCGTATTCCTTTGTCCGGTCTACTTGTATGTCGTCTCCTTCAACTGAAGCAAGTGAATGTCAGCTTAGTGAAGGTGTAAAATCGTTGCTGGCTGATACAAGGCTGCGCTGGGTCGTTAGACGTTGATCTTACCTATCTCGAGGGTAGAAAACTGAAAATTGTGGCATTTCCAGCCCGACCAATTGTTACCGGACATGTAAAAGCCCCTTGCAGCCTTGGTGCCGCCGACAAGCGGATAGTAGGCAGTAGGTGTGCCGTCTAGGATACATTGGTATCCGACCAGATGTTTCTTGCCATCGGAGCTTGGAATAGCGAAGTGGGTTGAATCAAATTTGAAGGCAAATCGCTTTCCTGGCTTAGACTCGATATACTTGATGATGTACGGAGACCACTCGCGACGCATCTCCGGGATCGAGTAGAAGTCGATGTCTTTTTTGCGCGCTTCGACCTCATCCGCCGGGGCATCGTACTCCTGTGCAGGCTGGCCATCCACTTCGACGGTAACCTCGAGCTCTGGGTAGGCGCTGAGGATTGCCAATGTGGTCAAGTTGGAAGCCGTGCTGGCGGTTGCGCTCTGGGGAGGCGCTGTGGTTGTCGGGAACGCGGCGATGGTGATTGAAAGGGAAGGTGACGACGGCGGGGATCTCGCCTTTTAGTGACCTCTTCTTGGGGCTCCTGGGGAAGGAGGGGGGGTTCCGATGCCCGAGGAGAGCTGGGGTTGATTAACGTGGTCGTTGTCAAGGCGGAGAAGAGGGTAATTCGAGAGATGGCCGGAGAGACAGGACAAACACAGGACCGAGAAAGGACAGGAGAGAGAGTGGGGAAGAGGGATAGGAAACCGCAAGCGAGCCCATTGCGCGTCGCGTTCAAAAACCCCGCCCGAAATGGGAGAGAAGGAAGGCACGACTGCAAGGAGCGACGGGTCTGCGAGGTCACGGCAGGCTCGCGAAACCACGTGAGCCAAAGCTTCTTGTAACTTGCTCGAAATCAAACCGCAGGCACCTGTACACAAGTGGAAACGATCGAAGACGTGAATTGACTGTTGTGGCAGCAGTGTGATTCGTGATGACTTCACAGAAGGAAATAATCTTCAAAGGGAATGAAGGCAGAGATGGATGCAGCTGTGCACCGGTGCGATGCAATGAATGAATCCATATTATGTTGCTTCGAGCTCGTTATGTAGACGATTATAAGCCCAAGCCAGGCTCCGTAGGAAAACCTCGTCATCATCGAAAGTCGTCCCGCTATGGTCGTGATATCGAACCGCCCACCCCACCAACACCAGCACCGCCGTCCACCGCCGTGGTAACGAACTTGACACTCTTCCTCCTTTCTTTATCTCTCTCTCCGCGACCTCCATCTGCTTTACTTCCTTCCCCGCCATGCCCAGAAAGACCACTACTCATCCAAGCCCCGATCCTCCCAGGACTAGAGCTCAGTATCCCCGCCACGCCGCTATGACTCTGACTCTGACTCTGACTCTGTTGAGATCCAGACCCACCCGAGCCATGTGAAGTTTGCGAATGATGCGGGTGGTGATGATGGTGAGCCTGTATCGCGCCTCCCGGTCCGATCCCAAAGGCCAGTCCGGTTTCTCTTACAGACTCAACGGCTCTGCTTTGTGGCGCCACGGGAAGGCCGCCGGCGTCATCGGTGCTGAGTAGCCTGCCACCTGACTCGCTGGTACCGGCGGAGGCGAGAGCAGAGAGAGCTGGGGGTCCGAGGTCGACGTAGCCACGATCGATTCCAGTGGCTGAGGCAAGGAGAGAACTGTCGCCGTGGCCTTGACTAGTGAGGCTGGAATGGCCAGAGAAGATGGGTGTTTTGTTGCCGCCTGAGAAGACTGGTGTCTTGCTCCCTGCTGAACGACTGTAGCTGCTGGCAGCGGCTGCCTCTCGCTCTCTTTCCCGCGCTGTCCCCGCCCGGCTCGGTACTTCGGTCGTCATCTCGCCCATTCTGGAGGCCATGCCATGCCCATGTCCCGTATCGGTTCCCGTGCCTCGCGTCCCCCAAGGCAGCCTCATCGGACCAGGTAGACAGACGTGCCCGCACCCATCTAGCGGACAGAATCCACCGCTCGATGCCAGTTCTGCAGCTGGGTCGTCGTTATCAACTGGTCCGTCGACATACATGGCCGAGTCCCGCTCAGCCTCAAATGCTGCGTGCCAAGCTTGCATACAGGATGAGTGGCCGCCGTGCCCGCAGATGGGGCAGAGCCACCATGTTGCGATGGGCTGATATTCATCTTCACCTTCCCGATCAGGCTGGAGGGAGGAGATGGTTGCCTCCGAGGAAGAAGGGATGAAGGGGGACGAGTCACGATGACCACAGAGCGCGCAAGGGGCAGCTGCAGCTTTACACCGCTTGCACGTCCACACCGAGTCCGTTGACCCCTCGCTGCGGTCCAACTCCCTCGCTTTGTGACAGGAGCTGCAAAAGAAGCCGACTGACACGCCGTTTTGGGCGGGGGTGAAGATGGCCGAGTAGTTGTTTCCCCAGTCCTTCAGCGGATTCTTTTCCACATCACCGAGGATAGACTCGGCGGCGGCGGCGGCTGGCCAGCCTTGCATGCACAGTTTCCTGAGCAGAGCCGCCTCAACGAAGAGTCTGAGATTCATGAGGCGGGAGTGATGCTGCCGAAGAATGGCTGCTGCTTGGTAACTGTCGATGACTTCGTCTGATACCAAAGGCATGAGGAGGAGAACGATGGCCGATGCATTTAGAGCTGAGGACTTGGCTTCGAACGCTAGAGTACGGGTAATTAGAGAGTAGGGGTTCAGCGGGGGTGTACTACTAGAGAAGGAAGGGGGGTCGTGAAGAGGGTAGGGATAGGCAGGATCCGAGGGCCAGGGCAGGTAATCGGTCTCGATTATGTGAGTAGGTTCTGGTTCCGGTTCTTCAGGAAGAGTAGGGGTTCCTTCCGTGATGACCACGGGTGGTGCGGCATGTAACATGTCATTGTCGTTCTGCGAGGGAAAACTGTCATCGGTGGTGGATTGGGTGATGGCGTGGTGCTCGTCAGTAAATGCGGTCATCCCCGTTGTTTCAGTCTCGGTGCGGTTGAGCTGCGGGGGCACGACGAAGCGAGGACGACCGGAGCTGCCCATTTGCATATCGGACGCTCGTTCGGAACCGTCACTGCCACGGGGGTAGCGGATTTCGGCAAGGGCAGAGCCGCGGATAGGTAGGCCACCGCTGGACTCGACGGAGCTGGCTATAGCTGTTCCTGTTGTTCCGACGCCGCGGCGACTACCGGCGGAGACGGAGAGGGCGTGCCCGAAACTGTCGTCGGAATCATGGCGTAGGACAGATCTTCTCTGACTTTCGAGGCTTCTCCGGGGTACGTCGACGGCATTGCCTAGGATTGCTTCGGTGTCGTAGAAATCGTATCCTTCTGTGCTGGCTTGGGTGTGTTCGCTGTTGAACGAAACGACGGACAAAGGGACAGAGTCGAGACGGTTACGCTTTTGTGGACCGCGAGGTTGGAGTGCCGGCCCGAGGGCAAAACTGCCAGACTCCAGAACTGGCGTCAGCTTCTCGGATTCCGCAATAGGCCGGGCAAGTGGTGTCGGTTGGTTCGAGGTGCTTTCCAGCTCTTCTGACAGCAACGACCTGGGATGTGTCTTTCTCGGCGTATCTGCCCCATCGGTCTGGACTGACATCTGAAAAGGAGGACCCAGCGCGCGTAGCTTTCCCTCAATCTTTCTCTTCTCGTAGTGATCTAGCCGACGTTCCAGATGGTACTGTCCTCGCCTTCGCAGAACCAGGTCGATCCAATAAGCGAGAATGCGCCATGACTGGGCAAGTCGGTACTGGTTGACACTATCGGCTGCTCTAGCGTAGTGATCAAGGATAGTTTTGACTCGGTCGGGGAGTGGCCTGCCTCCATCGACGTATGGCAGCTCCTGGTACAGGACCTCCAAGTAGTTGACGGTAAGGTATTCGTAGATATCGGCTTCCGCAGCAGCAGGCAGATGCCCAATGGCCATGGCTTGTTGAGGCTTGTAGATGCCGGTGACCTTGATGGTCTGTTCTAACGACAAGACCTCTTCCGACCCCATCGGTGGTGTGGTGCTAAGGTTGGCTGACCTCGTGCTTGGACGCCGCTTTCGCTGACTGGTCCGTCGTTTGGGGCCCAAGAAGCTTCCGAGAACATCGTCTTCAGAATCGCTGCGGCTGACGCCAAATCGGGGAGTGGTAGGGCTTGAGCTGTAAGAGGGTGCGCCTATGCTGTGGCTGCTGTCGGCATGAAGCATGTGTGGTCGCGGACGATGGGAAGGAGCACGCTCGTCTAGAAACATTAGCACGTCTCCCTGTGACGAGAAGGACATGGTCGAGACGGCTTGACGGTCAAGCACCTTGGGCGCAAAGTTGACATCGCACTGGGTAAAGAGACCATCCTGGCCGACGGTCCAGAGAAGATACTGATCGTGCCAGAGGAGAGAGTTGGGGGAACTGTCAAACAGCTGGATCTCCCTGTAGGGCATTGTGGGACGGGCAAGATCCCATATGTGCACCGCATTGATACCAAATTTCTTCTGACTGCTCTCCCCATACGATATGGCGATCTGGGACGCCCTCTTTGCCTGGGCCGTCGCTGACCATTGCCCAGGTCTCCAAGCAAGAGAAGCCACGGGCGCCGGAGTAGAGATGGTCCACTTCGGCTTCTGCCTCTTGTCGGGAACCTTGCCCAGATGCCAGACATGACACTTGCTGTCCCATCCAGCACTGACGAGATGTTCGCCGTCGGGATGCCAGGCAATCGAAGTACACGACTTCTCGTGGGCGTTGATCCTCAGCACGGGCGCATGATACTTACGCATGTCCCATTGGAGGACAGTGCCCTGGTCGGTTGAGCAGGCAAAGACAAAGCCATCCTTGGGAGACCAGCGGACCTGACGCACGCCGTCTGCGTTGCACTTGTAGGCGTGGACTGGACGGAAAGTGGCGCCGGTTCGCGAGGGGATCGGGTTGCGGATATCGAAGCATCGGACGATGCCGTCCTGACTGCCAGACAACAGGTAGCTGGCCCGGTGCGGGTTGACGTCGAGAGTGTTGACCTGTCGAGAGTCTTCGCGGATCTGGAGAGACTCGAGTGGTGATCCAGTAGCCCAGGCCTCGCTGGCACGCACCAGGTCATACTGGAAGATCTTGCCGCTGCCGCATGCCGTGAAGATGGTCGGGTTGCCGCCAGAAGGACCCCATTTGACATCCCTGATCGCCAACTGATCCGGGCTTCCTCCTTGGAGAAGCGAGCGGAGATCGACCCCCTCGCGAATGTTGAGGCCGTCAAAGGTGACTGTCCGTAGAGCATGGCGGCCAGCAAGAACAGCTGATCGGCCATCGGGGGATCTGTCTATACACTCGAGCGGTTGACCAGCCTGGTACGAAGCATTTTGGGCAGCAGTGGGACGTTGGCGATAGTTGATGGAGCCCAGGCCGCCGCTGGGGTTGCTGGTGATGTTGGAACCGTGGGAAGTGCCGCCATTGGCAACCGAGGACGACGGTGTATTGTCGTGCGAGTTGTTGGCCGAAGAAGAGTCGGGGTTGTTTGTCTTGCCCAGCAGCTTGCGCATGATATTGCCCTGATTATACATGGCCGCGGTCGGTGGGTTTGTTTGTTATTTATTATTGTGTAATGTCGTCGTCGTGTTCGTGTTGTGTCTCGCGAGGCCGTGACGCCGTCGAGAGCATCTTCTCTGCTGGTCCTTCAGGGCGCGGCCGAGGAACGTTGGAGGGCGTCAATGTGTCGTGACATTGGGGAGGAGTGGGACTATCTCGTTAACGTCTCCTCGTTGCAGTGAGGAATGCGCAGCTAGTTGGTGTGGTGGTGATATGTTGTGGTGATATGGCGTGGGCTGTTCCTAATGTTTTGGTGGGGTTGTTAGAGGGAAGAGGGAAGCTATTCCCAATGGTCCAATGCCTGCCGGCTCTCCCCTGCTTGCGGCAATTCTGCCAACTTTGACCGCCAAGATCTTCCATCGGAAATGCCCCTGCCTGCCGTTAGCGCATTTTCGTCTGTTGTCAGCGCGTCAATCCACTGAAGCTTCCACTCCAGCCTTGCATTTGCATTCCATTCAACACCAGAACATTTCATCAACTGTTAACACTTACACGTACGCTACTTGCAACAACTGTACACCTCAGCCTCGCCAACATTCCACTTGCCATTGAGACTCTATCCGACTTCTACCAGTATCAATCTATCTTATACACACCATCGCGACAAAACAGGCAGCTGATCCATTGCACCGGGCGCCACGATGAACCCCGACAGACAGGCCATGATCGCCGGCTTGGGCAAAGACCGAGGAGAGCGAGACAACAACAGACGAGACATCACGGCCCCCAGACTCGACAACAACAACCGAATCTCCAAGCCCCAGTACAAGCCCTCCTCGAAACCCATTACAGGCTCAAATAGTACCCCCGTCGGCAACAGCTCAGGTCCCGGCGGCGGCAAATACCTTACCCAGGACGAGCAGTCAGAGCAGTTCGTCGCCGACGAGGACAAGTTCGTGCTCAAGCAAGCAAAGAAGAAGGCCGACATCCGCGTCAGAGAACGTCGCGCAAAGCCTATCGACTTCCTGGCCTTCAACCTCCGCTTCATCGACACCGACCGCGATGTCTTTGACGATCACGATGACGACGTCGACATCCCCGTGCCCTCTCCCGAGCGACTCCTCCAGAGCCTGAACAACAACGAGTCCCAGCTGAAGGAGCTGGAGGAGGACATCAAGTCATACAACACCCTCGAGACAAACCGCCGCAACAAGGAGTACTGGTCAGCCCTGGCTATCCTGTGCGACGATAAGCGCAACAAGCTCAAGCCACAGGGAGCAGAAGGACGAGCCGTCAACACGGTGGCTGCGGATGTGGACAAGATCTTTGCGCCCAAGACGCTAGAGCAGCTGGAGACGTTGGAGAAGCAGATCAGGGCCAAGCTACAGTCCAACGAGCCCATCGATACCGACTACTGGGAATCCCTACTCAAGAATCTGCTGGTGTACAAGGCAAAGGCCAAGTTGAAGCAGGTGTGCTTGGAGATCAAGGCCGCCCGGGTTGAGATTCTCAAGGCTAAGGACCCCGAGAGAGCCAAGGCGTTGGAAGAAGCTGACGGTCTCCCTGATGCGGCCCTCCCCTCGACCTCGGGCTCTTCCAGGACCTTGATCCGCCCTGTCGCAGCCTCAACATCGACAGCACTTGCCGCATCCTCCAGTAGCAGCAGCAGCACCGCCCCACCCCCCGGTACCGCTCGCTTCGCCTCCACCGGCAACGAAGACTTCTCGCAAGCTACCAAGGCCCTCTACGACCGGGAAGTAGCCCGCGGCTTCCTCGAAGGCGAAGAAATCTTCACGGCTGAAGAATCCCTGACCGCAAATCCCAAGCCCGTGTGGGCCGACAAGTACCGTCCTCGCAAGCCGCGCTACTTCAACCGCGTACTCATGGGCTACGAGTGGAACAAGTACAATCAGACCCATTACGACCACGACAACCCGCCGCCCAAGGTCGTGCAGGGATACAAGTTCAACATCTTTTATCCCGACTTGATCGACAAGACCAAGGCGCCCACCTTCAAGATCATCAGGGAGGGCGGGAGACGTAGGGGGGAGAGCTTTGCGCCTGCGGGTAAGGAGGACACCTGCTTGATCAGGTTCGTGGCCGGACCGCCGTATGAGGATATTGCATTCAGGATTGTGGATAGGGAGTGGGATTATAGCGCCAAGAAGGAGAGGGGGTTCAAGAGCAGTTTTGACAAGGTAAGTCGTCCTAGGTCGTGGTCGTGGTTATGGTTAGGATTGGTGACGTTGCTGTTTAGCCGGCCGGCCGGCCGGCTGTTGGTGATGGTGACAACGTTGGTTACCATGGCTACGTTGGCCCATACCACGGCCCTCTATAACAGGCCAACGTTTTGCTCTCTTTCCTGCGTCGCAAAAGCCGCGCCACCAACAGCCGCCGGTTACCCGCGCGTATTTCCGACCTTATTGTTCTTCTGCTAACCTCGTTACCTCGCGTGTAGGGCATTCTTCAACTCCACTTTCAGTTCAAAAAGGTTGGTGATATGGTCTCCCTTGTGGTCGTACTGGCCAAGGCTAACAGTATCTGTCTACAGATTTACTACAGAAAGTAGAAAGCCCACCCAGGGCGATATTACCACCACCGCGCCTTCTGGAACGCTGGTCCATTAGTCCGGCTTGCGGCGAAGCCATCGATCGGCTGGTCTTTTTGTTGTCTGGTTTCTTGTTCGGTGCCACGTTCTATAGGTCGATATGGGGCCGTGGAAGCTGCTGCGGCCCGTCTGGCTCGATCCCTGCTCCTGGTCTTTGGGTGAACTGGGCGCATTGTCTGATTATGAAGAACGCATGAGAGAGCTTCGCAGTGCTGTGTGTGGAGGAAGAGCTGCTACACCGCCAACCGGGGACGACGGGAACGGACACGGGTGGCACACATGAGACGATTTCAAGGCTTCGTCTAGAAGGATGGAAAGGATGCCGTTCCCCGGGTACTAGACCGGGGCATCGGGGCTGGATGCCGGCAACACTCTGGTCTTCTGGGTGGGTGTCGTTGTCTTGTCTCGCGACAGTTGGGCGACACGCCAGCCATGACGGGCAAGTCCTGGTATGGAGGGATCATGGATGGAGACGGGACTGGTCCGGCTCCTCTACACCGTATGCGACGACCCGAACTTTTGGAGCATTACTAGATCCCTGGTGCGATGTGGTGTGTGTGCGACTGGATGATTCATGTTCCTTCGGACTGTCGGATTTTGCGAGAACATGAGATCGAGGTATCCGTCTCGCGTCTGTCTGTCTCTCTGTTCTGTCTGGGCACCGACGAGACAGGACGGGTGTCAGCCCATGGAACCCTGGCGACGGAGAAGTACAGAGCAGCGAGTGTCAGGCATGTCAGTCGATCAGCCGCTGCTCATCTTGCAGTCAGCCTGCCGGTCTGTCACTCCAGTCTTGTGTCAGATGGTCATGAAGGAAGGAATGTTTCGTTGTCTCGACATCTTGGAGATGACGCAGGGCAGGCACACCGCACTATCGAGACATGTTCCACAGGATGGCTACAGTTTGAGGCTTTCTCGAGGCTGGCAGAAATAACCGGGGTGGCTTTTCTTCTTCTCGGTCTTCCTCCGTGGCATGGGGATAAGTGACCTGGCCTGGAGGCTGGCCTGGCCTGCGAGGCGTCGGTCACCGTCAGGGACCATGTGGAAGCTGGCTGCTTTCGGAGTCGGCCACTCGGCCTGGTAAATGAAGCCAAGCAAGCCCCGGTTTCGATTCTCCACGCTCACATCATTTTCCTCGACACGTCCTAGAATGAAACACGTCCATGTTCTGCATACCACAAAAGATTACTATTACGAGGTCATGGCACCGTGCAAGCCGTGCAAGCCCGAAAAGAAAGCCGTGTGGAGAGACCTGATGAGATACGCACCGGACTGAGTGCGCACCGATGTGTTGTTCAGTTACTATTCTTGCGCCTCTTCCCTTGGGACCTGTTGACCTGTTGACCTCTTCTTCGACCGACTATCCATCCAGCTGTTGCGTTGCCATGGAACTCCGCCGTTTCTTCTCAAGGGCCCGTTGCGCCTGGGCTGCCCATTCAAGGCATGCCCAATGCCAGCACAGAGTGACAATGGTAGACTGGACGTCACTGATTGGGCCGTTTCAAAAAAGACCTGACCACTTAGCACCACCACGAGTGGCTGCACCTTTCCGTTAGGATCTGGTTACCGGCCAGCCAATTCTGTCCAGTCCATCTTTGTGGCATCTGCCCTCTCTTGTGTCTGGTGGTCTGCAATGGCCCCAATGGTCCTAGGACTCGCTGACGACACCGGCGTGCCGCTGGCTGGCTGGAAGCATCCTACTACCCCAGAATGATTGAGCCTCACTCTGATACGTCCAAGTCTACTGCCATGCCACATTGCTGTCGCTGTCCTAACTCATTCATGCTGCCGTTATTGACCGCTTCTACGGCTTCCCAAAGTTCCAGACAATAGCTCTTCTTCGCTTCTGCCGGTAACCTTGAGCAGCTGGCCAGTGGCAGCCAAGGCCCATTCAGTCAGAGGGAGTCAGTCACAATGCCCGACTATGATATTGTTGGAGAGCTGAACATGTTTTGTCTTCTCAAGGTCTGGTCATTTCCATTTTCCGGCTCCTGGCCCCAAACTGAAACCGTTGATTGTGTGTGTTGTGTTGTGTGTATGTGTGTGAACCAGCGTTCGCTTGAAGATTTGTTTACTAAACAACAACAACTTGAAGACAGACAAAATCTTCGGGCCCCACCTTCCTACTTCCCCTACTTCCATTACATGACTTCCCCTTCGAACAAGCCACACTTCAAACTGCATCATTGGAGGGGCAAGCATGCTTTCTGAGTGCAGTTCACTGACCGCCTGGTTTTCCTCCATTTCCGTTGCCAGCGTCGCTTTTCTTCAACGTCAAGTTACGGTGATGTGGGCTTGACACTTGCTTCGTTCGGCGTTTTTATACTGTGCAGAGGGTATCCAGGTCTTGGCTGACTGGAAAGCACCAGGCATACGGAGCAGGGGTCTCCTACCCCGGTCTTGCAATTCTGTCACTTTTCTTTTTCTTCCATCCGTCTTCCCTACCTTCCCTGCCGGCTCCGCGATGTAGGCAGTATGCGAGAATTGTTGCACACACTGCTACACTCGCATTGAAAAGAAGAAAAGGCATGCCCCGGGCATGGGTCTGTCTAGTGCTGTTTTGGCCTTGCTGTCTGTCTAGACTGGGGTTGTGATGAGCACCGAGCCCTTCTCACAGGTACTTCTCCTGGGAGGAGACTAAGGGAGGGGTGTCGATAACACGGTCGACCGAACGTACCTGAGTACCTTACACACCTTCCTCGCTTTCACCTTCATCCCCCAGAAACAAGCCACGCAGAGCTACCACCTACCTGTACCTTCCTATAGCGTCTTGTTCTTCAACTCTGCGGTTTCGTTTGTTCTACCTCCTCCACCGTAGAAAACATGCCGTGCACGCATGGCCACACCATGTACTTACACACACAGCAAGAAAAGTGGGAGCCAGGCCCCCAGGGCACAACGGCCGCACCCTCATACAAGCCAGGCATGGAAGGTATCGCAAACCCACCCGGTACTCTCTCCCTGCGCCCGCTCCCGCCGGATGTGGAGGTAGATGTCTGGTCCACCAAACAAAAGTGAACAAAAATGTGTTGACAGACCTAACCATCACTTCACTGAGAGGCAAGGCAAGGCAGTGTCCTCCCTTGGGATGTACACCCACCGCACACAGTACACACTTTGGGCCGGCCCCCCCTGCTCTGCTTGGCCTTGAGATACCCACCCCTTACTGTTAGCAGGAAGCTTCAACAACATACCCCAGATGTTGCTATACGTCCTCTGCATAGCTCCATGTCCTTGTATCGATCTTCTTTTTCCCCTGGTCCCTGGTCATCCTAGCAGATATCCAGACATAGACCTACATACCTCAACTGCCAGTCAACAGCCGCGAGGCCCAACAGTCACAACCGTTTTGCTTGATAACTGAGACATCTGGACCTCACACCTTCTTCAATATCAAATCAGTTTTTCCCCACACTTGTGAAGAAAAGCATACATATGCCAACAACCTTCGTTGTCTTGGATCACCAACACACATCAAAGCCATTCTTCTCTTCTTTCATCCTTGGCTCACAACATCAAAGCAACGAACACATCAGTAATGGACAAGAAATCAACAACAACATCATCAGTTACAATGGACTCCTCAAACTCATACATGTTGTCACCACAGGCCACCAGAAGCCAGACCAGCAGTCCGGTTGTGGGAGGCATGACTGAAGGAAAGACTCAGAACGGGACATCACTATGGAACGCTTCGGTCCGGGCGCAAACCGGGAGTGACGAGTTCGAGCACTATGCCTTCCACAGCACCGCAGGCTCCTCCTCAGCAGCACCTCATACAAGTGGTCACGGGGGACTTACACAACAGTCCATGTCCAGCCAGTCATCACCCCGCAGCTGGAGTTCACCAGACCATCACTTTCGTCCGGTTTCTGCCTCAGGTTCTGGCTCGGGCTCTTCTTCGTGGGGTTCCTACCCGGCGGAGCAGCAGTCGTCATACCCCGGGGCCGTTGCTGGCAGGCAGAACACCCCACAGATTTCATCCAAGACCCTGTCGAGAGAGAACTTGTTCCAGAGCAACAATCACCACGCCTCGACAGCAACTTCCTATCCTTCCACCGGTTCCTTCTACCACCAGTACCCCACCCATAACAGCATCTCCTCGCTTTCCCAAGAACCCAGCTACCCTCCTTCCCCTTGCAGTTCCATTCCCAACAACTTCAAGCTCGACTGCGACTCAGACATGTTCAGCACCGCCCCCGCCTCCGAGGCCGGCGATGACTTTCTAGTCAGCAGCCAATATCCTTCTTGCAACCTTCTCGGTGACAGCAGCATGAGTGGCATGAGCAGCGGCGTGTCCAGCCCAGTCTCTCCCTTGAATGCGCTTGATAGCACCCCGACTACTACCCTCCCCGGCAACAGCAAGGCCGAGCTGCCCTATGCGCAGCTTATCTACAAGGCATTCATGAGCACCCCCAACAAGGCCATGACGCTGCAGGACATCTACCAGTGGTTCCGCGAGAACACCGAGAAGGGCAATAGTGACACGAAAGGGTGGCAGAACAGCATCCGTCACAATTTGTCCATGAACCATGTGGGTTTTCCTTCTTTCTGCAATCACTTTTGACATTAGCTAACACTCGCCAGGCGTTCACCAAACGGGAGCGCAAGCCCGAAGGCAGCACCACCGCCGACGAAGACAACGCTGCTTCCACAGACGCCAACAACAGTGACAGCAAGAAGACCACTGAATGGTACCTCGAGCCTTGGGCCATCAAAGGCGGCGTCCAGTCCACCACCCGCTACCGCAAGGGCAACCACGCTTCGCGACGGGCTGCGGCGGCCTCAGCTTGCAATGCCTCCCGCCGCCACATGAAGGATGGCAAGTACGATCTCTACAGCACCGGCATGTCCACTCGCTCTTCCTCTTCGCTTGCCAACCGCAACAAGATCTCCAAGTCTGTTGGCAACCGCGGCACGCTTCGCAGCAATGGAACCGCTCCGTTGCAGATGCACTACTATGGCCACCACATGCCTCAACAACACCACTACGGAGTCAGCATGGTCACTTCCGCCCCGGAGCAGCACTACAACCCATACATGTCTCCAGTCTCAGCAAGGCCGACGGCGGTGACACACGGTCTGCCCGATATGATGTCTGCCACATGTACCTCTGCTCTCGCGGACTACTACGAATCCTACACGGATCCTGCCATCCTCGCTTCTTCGCTCGAGCAGCAACAGCAACAGCAACAGCAACAGCAGCAAGCTCAGGCCCAAAGGGAGGCGTCTGAGCCCATGTCCATTGTGGGGATCAACGAGCCCATCACTCCCGAAGCAAGCTTTGGCAGCCCTCCGCTCACCACCAGCAGTAGTAGCGCGAGTTACTATCCCAGCCCGGAGGATCATACCATGAACTTTGCCAGTGCTGCTGCTCATCACGGGCACGCCGGCTATCATCAGCCTCAAGTCTACCAGGACGATACGTCCCGGTATCCCCATCATCATCACAACGGTTGGGAACATCATGCCCAGAGCGTGGCGGTTCCGGCTACGGGGATGATGTATGGGCATTACGCATAGGCCTGACACTGGGGCACAGGACGAAGAGATGGGCGGCTTCAATGATGCTACGACTGCAGGAGGCCAAATTGTACCAATACTACCAATTTTACGATCATGAGGTTCACGACACAACTACAACACAACACAGACACAGACACAGACACAACACAAAAGGCGATACCCAAAACTTGCTTTGGCTTTTGATTCTACTAGATTGGCGGGGCGGAGGGGTTGTTTTCCTTGCTTCTTTCTTTCTACTTTTTTTCTTCTCTTTTTTCCTTCGCGCAAAAAGAGATAGGCACTGGGTTGGTGGTTCTCACGTTGCTGCACTTGCTGCAATGATCTACAGCCAGGACAGGGTCTAGTCTAGTCTGCTCAGCCTGTCAGGGCAGGACCTGCTTGGACGGCATGGGGAAGGGGACCGACCAGCTAGGTACCAGACAAGGACAGGGAAGGACAAACTATTCCTCCATATGTCTCCCTTCTTGGCTGGACTCTCTGCAGCTCTGCTTGCCTCTTGCCTGTCCTCCCTTCCTTTGCTTGTTGCTTGGTGGCCTAGGTGGTGGTGGGTGGGCAGCACTCAACATCAAACATCAGTTTCTTGCCACCTCACCCTTTTTTTTTTCTTTTTTTTTTCTTTTTTTTTACCTATCTACAGTTCACTGTTCCGGCTGTCACTTCTTCCATCCATCCCATCGATGCACATATCGAGAGGGCGAAGGGCCTGGCTTGGCTAGACCGCATAGGTGGCGATGCTGAGCTGGACTGGACTTCACGATGGATGGGGCTGGACGTTCTTATTCTTCTTCTTCTTCTTCTTGTTCTCTTTGTTCCTTTTTTTTTTTTTTCACTTTACTTCCCGCCTTGCCTTCTGTTCATCTTTTTTGCGCTTTTACATACCGCTACTACGAGATACAAGGGGGGATGGACATGGAGTCTAGGCTGGATGCTTGCTTCGGTTGGACCGTTGGTGGTGGCGATTTGGAGTTTCTTTTTATGACAGACGGGATGATGTTTTGCCTTTCTTGCCTTGTTGCAGTTTTACGTCTTGATTTGCATCTAGTAAGCACAGCACAGCACAGCACAGCAGAAGAAGAAGAGTGGAATAGCGATGCAATTTTTTCTCACCCGGGTCTGGCACTACTTTTGAGGACAGTGATACAGGTACGCGCGCAATGGAAGGGGACTGGGAAAGAAACTGGTTCGGAACTGGGAAAAATGGGTAGAGGACAGACCGGAATAGGAACACTTGCATTAGCATGTCGAAACTACTAGTTTTTTGACCTTTCTACCTACATGAATGGAAATGGAATATCATGGGCTTGCTTGATTGAAACAAAAAAAGATTGCATTGCATCACGGGTAAACATTAATGTGGAAGCGTATAGTTGACATGACGCGGATCTAAGGTATCTCGATTCTCGATGCTACTGTTGGTGGCTGGCTGGCTGGCTTAACAAGGCTCGTTGGCAGTTGATGAACGGACGGTCGGTTGGTAGTTGCCGGGTTTGTTGGCGCAAAAAACATAAGAGCCGGTGATCAATATCAGGGAACGGTAGGTACTATCAAGGGATGGTAGGCATGCGAATGGACATTAGGCGTTTGGTGATCTACTCGCCAACCATTCAGATTCGCAATACCACACGCCAATCTCCAGTCCAGTCAGTGCTAGTGAAGCTATTCCCAACTTACTATTTTTCGTGCCCTACCTGCCGTGGCATGCCCTGTCAAGGTGTGAAAAGCTGCGCAGCACATCGTTCGACAATGATGTCGTTAGACCGCGCGCCATCAATATCGCGGTACCGTGTTCGTAAACTAACGGAAAGCTTCCTTGCCATCCGTCAGCCATTCAGTTTAGCCATCATCAGCAATGTCCAATCTATTAACACGAATGGCCTTTTCTTTCCCGTTTCGTCTCCTCTTACACACCTTCCTCAGTGCGTGCAACTCTACTAAGTAAAGGTACCTATCTCCCTCCCATTTCCCCCACTACTGTAGGTACCTACCTCTTTCCAGTTCCCAACGGCCCCTAACATTAACGTCATCGGCCAATCATGTCCTGTCCCCTTTTACTTCGCGGTCTTCATCCCCACCATTCATCAACGAAACATCTTCATCACCAGCCCGCCAACCAACCAATGACAGCGTCACAATATCGCAAGAAAAGTAAGAAATGGCCCCCAACTTACCATAACCAACTAGCGTAGCGTAATCAGTGTACGTACCCTGACAGTAGGTTCGGCACCGGGATGACCCCCTCGTATTCCCGTCACTTCCTGCATCCGAATCGGCACGGTCACGGTCGGACAACGACTGGCTCTTCGGGCTCTGCAAAAATGTGCCAAGACACGAAGCCGGCCGAGAAAGAGCGTCAGGACAACCGCAAGACCGTCAAAAGAAGGACCCTGGTAGGGCTACTGGGCTAGAAGCGGTAATGATGTGAGACGTCTTTGGATCTTTTGGCTGTCGTTTTTCTGCGTTTTTTTTATTTTTTGAAGGCTGTGCTGGCCCCCAAGTTGGTGGTTATTGGCTGGATTTGTGGATTTGGGGGGGGGGGGGAAGTAACGATGTCTTTTGAGGTTGAGGTTGACCGTAGTGTACATAGGACACTGGCTGGGAAGTGGAAGTGCGGGCAGGCAACCTGACATTTCGTGTCATAATGGAAGTTGAGTTAGTTCACTAATCACTTACTAGTTACTGCGTACCTTGCTCTACCCTCGAGGATTTTCCCAAGTGTTTTCATCGTCATTTCTGTCATTCTTGTCTATCCATGCCATGTGCCCTGTAAATGATGGGTAGTGTCATCATCTCCATCCCTCGTCCTTGCCCGTTCTCGAGCCCGCGTGTTAGTGATAGCCAAGCCTTTTCCATCTCCAGTTCTTCTTTCCCCAGGCCGGCCGGGTTTATCACATCACTGCCTGCCTGGCGGGCGATTTCCCATGACAGTCCATTCTCCCCAAATCCCCGGTTATTGTCTCCGATCAAGTATCCGTGCCCGCCCCGATTTCCGTCCGTACCAGTTCTGCCCTATAAACAGGCCCCGGGGCCCCAAGACTACCTTACATAAACATACCTCTACTCCCATTCCGGCCTAGCACCATCTCATATAACAAGTGACAGACCTACAGATGTAGAAAAGTCCAGAACTCGCATGCACCCAGCGAGACCGAAAGAGGAAAGGTGTCTGGACTCTGGAGATGCCTGTCTCAAAAGCAGGCCACATCATACCCCAAAACATACGATTTTCTTTCAATCCTGTGTGCTGCCCCCTCAGCAACTTCAGTAACTTGAGTGCGGTAAAAGTGCTAAAAGTGCCCTGTCAAGATCCCCGAAAAGGCGCGATTGTTGCGTAGATGGGTAGTTTAGTGCACTGTGGCGCCGCTTCAAGGGGGGGAAGACGCCTCAGGCGCTCTCTGGCTGGGTTTGATGTGCGAACTAGAGGTAGGTGATCTCGAAGACTTCCCTTTTTATCCATTGTGGCTGTTCTGGATTGGGGAAGACTTCGTTCGACGTCGGACTTTGGGCCAATAGGGGGCCAGTCATTTTGTGGGGGGGTATTTTGAGGTTCCCGAAGTGGTATCTTGAAGTGTGCCTGTGAAATGACATGGAGTCGCGGGGAAACTGAAGAAACATGAACATGAAGATGATGATAATGGTTGCTAGTGATGATTGATGACGAGGAGCGCAACACTCAACTTGCACGGGTTCGCTACCCCCAACCAACGAACCCCGTGAACTGACCGGACTCCACTGCTACACCACGGCGTGATCGTCTTCGCTGTAACTGCCTTTTCTGGCGTGGGTAAAGAGAGAGACACTGGAGTGAGACAGAGGTACGTCACTGAGACATTTCACCGTTACAAAATGTTCCACTCATGTAGTGTACACTACGGTCCAGTCAGGGGTTCGCTCCCACGTTCTTTACAACCAATGCCCAGAAAGGGAACAAGACAAGGATGGACGAACGAAGCGAGGAAAGAACCGAAACGGCCGGGCCGAGAAGGGAGATGCATTCGTTTCTGTCTCAGTCTCAACCCGACCGTTGAAAGTTGCTTCGTTTTGTCAACATTTCTGTCTCCGTCACCAGTTCACCTTTTCTGAGCGAAAAAAAAAAAAGAAAGAAAAAGAGTTCCGGATGGGACGTGAATGCCAACATCCTAACTGCTGGCAGTGTACATTAGCTCCTCGCCAATGCTGCACATATCCGCACCTACTGTCCACATCCGTCAATTACACCGCTCTCAAGACCGCTTCGAAAATGTGCAGAATTATGATGCACAACTCACCGTCTTTGTGAATACATCTTCACAAGTTTTCTGGGTTGACTTGCATCTTTCTCCGCGTCCATGTCTGATACCCGACGACCGACGACGCTACCAGACTGCTACCTACGCAAACCGCTGCCGACATGACTGCAAGTCGTCAAACACCAACGGTCGTGATATTCGTGATATCGCCAACATTTAGTGCACAGTCTCACTGGTATTAGGGCTCTCCGTCATTTTGGAGGTGCGGTGCGTCTACCAACCGCGTCAGTCTAGTTGCTATTTCTGGCGCGCGTGTATGTCGATAGCGTAGCGTAGTTCTTGATGCCGCGCATCTCCCATCAAATCCTTCCCGTCACCACCACCACCAAAAAGGCACGGTGCCGTTCGAAGGCTCGAAGAAATTTGATCGAAAAGAACCAATCCCGCATCACTAGCCTTCCCCCTTTGGGTCTTACTCAGTGGTCATCCGTCTGACTGCCGTTTCGACGCCCAATAGCAATGGCCATGCTGAAAAAAGAAGCGCAAATCTATTCACTGTGTTCTGAAGCCTTCAAGCCCTCTTCGAGCCCTTTTTTACACAAGGGCCCTAGAAAAGGCCTAGTCTAGCAGATGGAGGCCACGAGTGGTATGGCCCGTTGCGGCACACAAGACTGGCAGCGGCGTGGAGGTGTGGACTGTGGACGTGTGGTAACACCACAGTTGTACAACCCATTCACCAGACGGGCAGCTTCAGCCACATCTTCGGACGTA